AGCCCAAGCCCAGCCCGGTGTTTTTAATTACGGCCCGTACCCGTCCCGGGCCCGTAGGGCTTGACCCGGCCCGACCCGGCCCGGCCTGTTTCAGCCAGTTAAGCGTTGAACATAAACGTGTCACTGTCTACTCTTCAGTTATTGTAGAAATACGTTTCTCACTGAAAATATATTATAGTGTGTGTTTTGAAACTTCTTTCAGGGTCACAACATTTCACTGGCATAGTATGTTCACTGGCATAGTATGTTCAGTTATTTACACCCGTAACACTTTTGAGAAATGTTTTCAGGGTAATAAAAAACATAATTGTAGTCATAGCTGGCTGTCTCATGTACGCAGTGCTAACCACAAAATGTTGTTTTTGCATTTCAAAAAACGATCACAAAGTATATCGCCCCCTTGAAGTGAAAAAAATATCAGGCATTTACATAGTGAGTCTACATAAATTGCATGCGAGCCACGAAAGTAACAAATCTCCGGCAAACTTCATTGAGTATGCCACACAATAAAAAACAGGCTCTAGCTATTTCTGGGAGGTATACACTAGGCTGGACAGTGTTACATAAATTAAAGCTATCGTGTTGGCGTCTCTGCTGTCTTCAACATACACTGCCTTTTCGAGCACCTTTCTTGCCCGAGTCGCCGTCACCACAGTTCCATAATCTGTCAAAGCGACCCACACCCTTTTAGTAAGCGAGCCACAGTCCTCGTTGTTCCTTGAAGATGCCCATTTCGTCCTCTTCTCGTGACGGCCTTCGATCTTTGAAATTGTTATGTCCTTGTGAGAAAATCTTTGTGGAGCTTTGTTGGCGCTCAGCGCAGTGCCGTCCTCAATATGGCGTGCATTCTAACACTCCAAAAACAAACAAGCCTCTGCCCCACTACCCTTATTCGTCTCTTTCGTCCGTGTCGTGCGCAAGTTTCTACATACTCCCGCCACGACAATGTCCCAAATCTTTTTTAAATATTCTCGGCAGGCAGCCTTTTACAGTCCGTGTAATTTGTCCACAAATCCTCCCCACAACAAATGACACTACAATATTCACCTTACTTGCACGAGTTTAATCGAAGTGCTATAAAAATGTGTTTCAAAAGCCTCAACTTTAGTTCATGACTATCTCTCTTGAGCGATACTTCCTTATCAGAATATGAAACTCCCCACGATAAAAGGACAGAAAGCCTTCAGAGATGCGTTAGCCTCAATGACACCTCAAATGTGTGCACTACTCTAACTGGCACACGTTTAACGACTTTCACGGTGGCCTCCTCTCGCAGCCACAGGGAAAATGTCGACACTGCTGACTTGAAGCAGCTTCGATTGGGACACACTGTATTTTGGAAAGGTGTTGTAGTTGTTGATTAACCATTAAGGTTAAAACGCGTGCATGCATCAAAATTACAGCACACTTGTTTAACACGTGTGTGTCATCTTAGTGACCACAACAGTTCACATAGCCCAGCCAAAGTGCCATGAAGGCCACCGTGACGACGGCGCCGATGCATGTAACTCGCATTGAGGTGTGCGTAATGCTGATATTGCAGCAGCCATTTAGGCCAGTTGCTGTCTTCTAGAGTTGTCGCGTTGCCGGAGAGCTGAGGCCAGGAGTACCTGTCTTCAAATGCCTCTTCAAGTTGGACATAGAAAGGTACTTTTCTGCTCCGTTCTAAGAGGCGTCATACACCGCTGGGGTTCTTATCATACCTGTTTCGCCAATTACTTCTGACAGTTTATCAGTTGCAATTTTTTCCACATGTTCATTTTTCTTGTCTGACTTCATACTTTTTTTACACAAGGTTGAACTGGTTCTTTCTCCAAAGAAATGGCAACACTGTCATAATTCTTCGCTGATGTCCTTGTTAGCGCAAATTCATCGCGACCATTTCGGAAATTGATGGGTTCATTCAACCCTCTTATGTTGATGTCTTGTTTCGGGAATGTCTTTCTAGCAATACTACTGGTATCGAGCTCCAAGACCAGTTGTGAGGAGTTAGTGAAGTTCTTCTCCTGATAGACCTCTGTTCGCAGGACGCAGATACGACTGCTCAAATACTGCCTACTTTGCTCCTCGACGGATATATGGTCCTTGGACAGTCCACTCAATTTTCGTGTTAATAGGGATTAACGCTCTGTTATTCGACACCCAACGGACTTCGCTGTCAGTTGGCATTACTTTCCGCACTCAGTCCGACCCAATCAAAAGACTTAGTGCAAAATAACAAAAAACGCCGACCAAGGTGAAATACACAAAACTTGAAAAGACGTTTCGGCTCCCCACACGAGAGCCTTGTTCACAGTGACCGCAAATGGCGTAGTGCGCTCTTCTTATGCATGTTAAACATGCATAAGAAGAGCGCACTACGTGAACAAGGCTCCCGTGCGGGGAGCCTTGTTGTTATTTTGCACTATGTTTGTCCCCGACCAGACGGGATTCCGTTGGACTCTTGACTATACAATCAGAAGACTTATTGCGGGTTCGCAGGTGACGCTTGGGAAAACAACTGCATCCACCAATGGTTCAACTTCTGCAATAATGACTTCATGAAGTCAATTTGTCTTTGAAGATTTACTGAAGTCGTCGCAGATGAAAAGAATGATGGCCACTTCTATCTGTACCAATTACAGCAGTAATTACAGAAATATAAAGCAACTGACTTTTAACCAGTGGAAATCGTTGGTCGAGTCAAATAGTCGAATGAAACTTCTTCCTATGAATAGTCTATAGCCACTTTGAATTTTTTGAAAGGCGGCCCGGGGTAATCAGGGCGGAGCGATGAAATCTGGCCAATTTTGCTCACGAAACCGAAACCGGCGCACAAAACAGCGCATATACCATTCACTTTGAAAACCTGCTAATTGACAATGTATTTATTTTGAATTGTGCAAAATTTTTGTTGTTTTAATTTCTTTATTTACTGCTGTATTTAATGTTTGAACGCATCTGAAGATGCAATCCATCAAAGTAGGGGCAACGTTGCATGTAGCATGCAGATGGCTCATTTTGTAATTTGAAATAATATTGGACACATTTCTTGAAACACCCTGTATATATAACCCGGGCCTAATACGGGCCTGACTCAGGCCGGGGCCCGACCCAAAACCGAAGCTCATGAGCCCGAGCCCGGCCCGGGCCCGACCCAACAATGCCTTGCCTGGCCTGAGCCGGCCCGCGGGCTGGGCCGGGCCCGGGCTTACGGGCAGGCCCAGGCTCGTGCAGTGCTCTAGTCTCAGTTATATGTGGGCTTTTAGGGTATTAAATTGTGTATGCACGATATTGCTTTGGAAAACTTTGTGGTAGATGTAAGCATGAACATAAATACAGGTAAGGCTCATAGCAATGCTGAGGAGATAGGACCATAGGTCGGCAAAAAAAATGGAACTCACTCAGACTCACTCAAGTATATATACAGCGCTTTGGAATCACTCGGACTCACACTAACTAAAATTTTCTTCAATCGAACTCACTCAGGCTCAAACTCAGCAAAATATTGCTACATCAGACTCTTTGGCTCGATCTGAGTACGAGTGAGTTCAAGCGAGTCAACTCACAAGTGAGTTCGCCGACTTATGCTCAGCGCGCTGCGATACTACTACTACTACAATGAACAACGAAGAAGACAAGGCGGCAGAGTGGAGGGGCTCAAAAATCAGTTGCAGCACAGGCTCCCCTTCAAGACCTGGAGATGAGAGCTTGCAAAGCCGAAAAAAGACGCCGGCAGCAAGCATAAGCAAAGGATCCAGAGGCGTCAAGGCTCGCGCAGCGGCACGGGCTCAACCACTAGCGGACTCGTAGCTGAGGGCCCACAGAGCCAAAGAGAAATGGTGACTAAGAGAAGCGGACTCTGAGCTAAGAGCCGGAAGTGGATCCTGAGGCAAGGCAGCCGTGGAAAGCTAAAAGCAAGCGCCTAAAGCGGTCGATTCCTGAGGTTGCTGCCGCCAATGTGTGGTTTAAGCACAATTTCCTGGGCTGAAGTTTTGGCCACAGCTGCAAGGTATGCTTGTGGTTGGATAAGAACTTGACCACAATCTCCACCACCAGAAACGAGCAATCCCCAACAATGCTACAGTGGGAGTGCTACAGCGGGAGTTTGAAACCACCACTTCTCGTGAAGTAGATCGGAGTGAGCACAGGGTGTGCTCTGCTTGCAAAGATTCTTTGGTGGCAGGAAAAGTCTCCGCAATGAGCGTAGATGTTTCTGTGAACATACCATTTCTATGATCGGGTGGGCAAAATGTACAGAGGTTTCCAGGTTAACCAGATTTACCTCCTGAGCTTCACCCACTCATCATCATTCACTCAGTGATTATGGCAAAATTTTTTTCTTTCTGATGATGCTTCTAGCATCTCTCGCTCAATCACCTTTTACCTAGATTGGTGATATTGGTGAATCTTGCCTAGCATCCACACGCGCAGCAGTGCGTAGGCAAATATGCCAAGTTGTGATCCGAAGTATGATGTGTTATTGCACAAGTGTGCCATGGTGTATACTATATTGCGATGGTTTTGGAAGAATAAAGTTAGTTGCAAATGATGCTTTCTTTATTTCACCAATTCTTTTCGGTGGATCACGTGGTCTAAGTTTTATGTACCATGTACCAACTAGCCTTACGAAATTTACTGAAGTACCCTCAAAGCCATAATAATATTTGGTATTCATAGAAAGAAATTCGCAGGCTACTTTAGCAACAGAATTATGTGCCAATGCCCCTTTCATTTCTGACACCAGCAACTTTGTACTGAAGGGGTTCTTAGTTCCTCTTACTACACCAAGAATAAGCTGCGTCACATAATATCAACACATATCTAGATCGTAATGAATGCCAGCAACGCACCCTCTGCAGGCTATTTTAGCAACAGAATTATGTGGCAGTGCCCCTTTCATTTCTGACACCAGCAACTTTGTACCGATGGGGTTCTTAGTCCCTCTTACTCCACCAAGAATAAGCTACATCACATAATATCGAAAGATATCTAGGTCGTAATGAATGCCAGCAACGCACCCTTTGCGGTCATAGTCCATGCGCTCGAGCCATCGTTTGAAGGTCTCCTGGTCGGCAGGTGACACATTCAACTTTTGGCCAATGGTGGACGGAGTGATACAGGATAGAGCCATGGCCTTGTCCGCTCCTGTCACTTGCTGGAAGAACTGCCGCGTGTGCACCACCACCTCACTCAGCTGCATCTGCGAATTGAGACAGCAAGTGTGGCAGATGATGAAGCCCCCAGAATGACCAAACAAGGGTCAAAAAGACATGCATTTACAAAAAAAAAAGGCCACGACAGCATTGTTATCAAGATTTTACTGCAGCACACTTGAAAACCTGTTTCCACAACGTGTCACTGCAAATGGCGTTATAATAAATTTTTGCCCAATGGTGCCATATATTAGTGTGACATTATAAGTCGACGTAAAAAGTAATCTCAAGATAAAGCACAACAAATGTTTATTTGATTAACAACAGCAGCGGGAGAGCATGTCGAAGTTATGCTTGTCTGGGTAGCGAAGCAATGAGCTCTACCAAGCTTGGCAGCTCGGTTTCCTGCCTACTGCCAGTAACGCATTTCTTCGGTGATGGTGGTGCTGTTGCTTATCGGAGGCGTAATGTAGCACCAGGCCAGATGATGACGAGCTGAAGGCTGAATTGATTGATATGCAAGGCGAGTCCCCACACTAACGAAACATGTTGTGGAGGCGGCTGGTAATACATTCTTACTTAAGATATTGTAATACCACATCAGACGAGGGCAAGACACAGAAGTACCTGACAGGATGCAGTGCCCGTTCTGTCATGTATTTTTCTAATGTAGTGCTACAATATTTTAAAATAAGAATGATGCCATAGGTACTGGCATAAAAAACTGACATGGATACCATTTATGTTAATATTCTGTTCAATGAAACATGCCTTGCAAAACCTGTTGAGACCTCCTAGCAGCTGGTGATCAGTACTCACCAACAGCTGTGGCCTGCCCAGGGCTGTCAACTTAATGGCTGCCAAGCCTGTACCTTCAGTGGCACCTAAAATGAGAAAGAGGCTGTACATTACAATGTAGTCAAACACAAGTTATTAAACCAATAAAAAAATAAGTCAAGAAAAGCACAGGAGACATTATTATCAGGTTCTTATAACTAAAGTAGAATGATTATAACCTAAATTGAAAGAGATGAAAGTACTAATGCAAGATTGTCCTTTGGTTGTTGGTGTCTGAACCCACTGCCTTTGACTAAAGAAATAATGTCCTTGATGTTTTCCTTGGCTTCACTGTCTCTCGGTGTCATTAGTTGCGTCTAACACAACAATGAGCACCTTGAACTCCCTTTATGATGCAGTAAAATGCAGTCACGTTATTCTGTATACAAAAAGCACAGCAGTGAGCCTAAGTTGATTAGCCAGGAGGAAGCCATACCTGCCAATTGGCATAAAATGTAGTTGCCAAAGGAGAACATACGTGTTTACTCAATCACACATTGAGCTTTCATGTGTGACAAGTAGTGGCACTGAAAGTGGTTGAAGGATATAACCATAGAGTTACAGTAAACAGTGACATGCAACGAATACAAAGCATACATGCCCACAATGGTGGAAAAAATACCTATAAAACTTCTTAAAATTTTATACCTGGGCCAAATACGCCCTTCTGAGGAATCGACCAACAAATCGCCACGTGGTAGCAACACTGACAATGGAAGCAGTCTGCATGTCCAATTTGAAACTCTTTACTTGGGCGTAAACACTGACATGCAACATGTCCAGAAACAGCGATACACACTGTACACTAGTAATGGTCCATAAACTGCCAAGCGGCAAAGCACATTGGCTTTTATACTTGGGCTAACAAAGATACCGCCATTGAAACGACCTCGCTCAAACACTCAACTTGGCGCTCATAGCAGAGAATAACATGAACACATTCTCTTGTCTCCCACTTGGCCAAAACAAAGATAAAGCAGCAATTACATTAATACACTTTCATGCAATGGCTACCAAGGATACCTAGCTTGGAAAACGTAATAGTCTCAAAGACAGTAAAGATGACATTCAGTTTTTTTCACAACCTGACTGCTCCAATGAGAAAATTGCTGTGGCTCGCCAAAGAATTTGCAAAGGACGCGAACTATCATTTTGTGTGGTCTTTCGAGGACAGCATCTTTGCAAGAAGGGAACCAAATGTATTACCGAAAGCGTCGCACTGGTATGAGGGCTTTCTAGGATCTTTCTTCCTCTTTCTTTTAGAGCATTCAGATGAGCAAGATGTTAATAAATAGTTCAGTCGCGCAACAGAAGTGTGTAGTAGGCGGTGCACAAACAAAATGAAGACAGCAAAAGTGTGACTTAGTGCGAAAGCGCGCAGACAGTCACCCAGGGTGAGCATCCCTTTCATAGCAAGAGGGCGCTTCACTCGATAGTATAGCAACGTTGCATGTGCTTCGTGCGTCAATTTGACAGAGGAAAGCATAAATATTAGCAGTAAGCTGCAGTCAACACATTTTATTTGCAGACAGTCAGCTCAGACCACACGCAGACGAGCGTCGATGCATGTATTTGTATATGCGCTGCCGACCGCCCATCCACTTCTCCGCGATGATAGTGCTGCCACCTATAGCCCGATCTCGACGGGAATACCATTTGACGGCAGACAGCTGCTGGTGTTAGTGTGTTGGTGCAACTGTAAGGTTCGTTCACAAAAGTTCTCGTGGCCATTGTTCCAGCATGCTTTTCAACGCAGCGTCGCTATGCATGTGTGAGAATCATGTCATGGCACTGGTGAAAAAAAGGAAGCAGCCAGCTCTTTTTGAATTTTCAGAATAAAAGTTTCTTTGGTTTGCTAGGTCAGATCACCTATATTTTTTTTTAGATTTTACTACAACACAGTTTTCTCTTGAATTAAATTTTTTTCACCACTTTCTCAGTTTCATTGTAACGGTGTTCGAATGCATTTCTCATTTATCCGTTCTCATCTAACATACTGTCATCTAGCCTGGGGTACAAGACTGATGCCTAACGTGTTTCCTCTCTACAAAAAAGAAGATTGAAAATGATTTCCTCCCATCCAATCTCATCAGCTGATTCCCTGTATGAAACTTCAAACATAATACTGTTCTCCCGGTTCTATAAATTTTGCTTAGCAACAATGATTTTCCACCGAAATTTAGCACGATTATACTGCCTTTTCAAACAATTACTTCAACAGAAAAGTGACATATGACCTACACACTACGTCAATGAAGGGATCAAGACTAAGGACTACCTTGGATATCAAAACTATAATTAGCAAAAAATTTTGTTGTGTAATGCATACCCCCTTAATCAAGCTGGCCCATGCAAACTCATGTATGACTCGCTTGCTGGATTCCGGGCCGACCGGTTGTGCGCTCGCGCGCTCCGCGCGCTTGCGATCTCCGGCGTCAGCGTGGCTCTGGCCGACTGGGCTCGCCCTACGTCACCTTCTGCCACCGACGACCTTCGACGACAGTGTAGCTCTGACCAACTGGACTTGCTCTACACTATCTACCGACGCCTAAAGGAGCTCTTACAGGAGTGCCCCGTCCTCGGACTCCAGTGACCGTACTCCCATCTTTCCTATCTCTTCTATCCCCTCAGTTTGTCGTCGCTCGCTCTGGCTTACCACCTCACGTCTCTTCCTCTCTTCTCCTTCTTCCGCTTTCCTACATCTTTACTCCTGCCCTTTTTATCCCTCCCATCCCTCGTGAGCTACTGTGGCGGTGTCACTCACTGAAGCAGACAATAACTGGGCTCACTTTTCTCTTCCTTTCTCTTTTGAGAATCACTTCTCAAACTCATGTATTTCTCATTTAAAAAAACATTTCAAATTACTTCTGGTGTCTCCTTCAAACCTAAAAATTTTCAGCTATGCATTATAAATAGAGGCCGGATTTATAAGCATTAAAAAAATGGGTTTTAGGTGCTAGAAATAGGGGGTGAAACCCGGTCTTAGGCCCCCAAAACCGTAAACAAACTTTCAGAAAATTTAAATTTTCAAAGAATTACGAGTGGGATTTGTGTCTACGAAGGGAAAGAAAATAGAAATGTTGTAGTTAATGGTGGCACCAAGGCGCTAATGGTTTAGCACAGCCATGCAATTTTTTCTCCCGCCGGTTTGCTGAACATGAGGTTTCTCCTTTTGTAGTCCAGCATAGTGACTTAAAGGCCAACTCTGGCGATTTTACGAGGTCAGTGGATCTCAATGAAATTCACTGGGTACATTCATTTGCATGTTTGCACCATTCATGCCAAATCGCAAGTTTGAGAGTTTCGCTGATTTTTTTTCAAGTGAATTTCGTAGCTTGCCTCGAAACGCTCATTTTGCTTGCCAGGATTAATGGCAACATTGTGTGTGTGATGTTGAGTTTTGACTGGTGGAAGTGACGAACTGGTGTGCCATTGCAGGATCTGCTTGTCTGTAATGGATTGTGTGGGTTTGGCCAACGCTTACTTGGTTGAGCATGCAATTTCATTTTCCGTGTTGGTGGGCGTGCGATAGGTGCCAAGTGGTGTTGCGTTGTGAGTCACACACGATTCGCCATATATTCACCATAACAACGTAAGCATTTCAGCCGATCACTGCAAATAGATGGATAAACGGATTGATATAACTGTACCTTTTAGATCGGGCAGTGACTAACGCCACCAAGCCGTAGTACTTAGTGAATCAAAAACTAGATTTATTTTTGTTTTCCTTTAAATAGTGAGGTTGAGGACTCGTACTTTGCAGTGAAGCGTTTAATTTTCACTCGTGCCTTGACTTAGCCACCAATCAGATAAACTCCTTCTAGTTGATTCTACCCGCTTAAAGCCTATTTTGCCCTCCCTGTCCCTAAACCCCAGTGCTTTGAAAAACTCTGCGCCATCATCCTGAACTATAGGGTGAAGCCCTTTACAGAACATTATCAAGTGTTCGGAAGTTTCCTCTTCCTCTCCACACGCACTGCATACCGTTTCTACCCCTTCGTATTTGGCCCCATATGTCTTGGTTCGCAATACTCCCGTCCTGACCTCAAACAGTAGAGAACTACCCCGAGTATTATTATAGATCCTTTCCTTGGCAATTTCCTGCTTAAAAGTTCAATAGATCTCTAGTGCGGACTTCCTAATCATGCCAATTCTCCACATATTCGTCTCAGTTTCCTTCCCCTTCTTCTTAACCGATAATTCTTTTTGGTTTGGCTCCCTCCTGTTTTCGAAGTATTTACAAGTCAATTTTTTGGTTTGCTTCCTCCATTTCGTATCGACATTCTTCATGTGCAAGTAGCTGAATACCTTCCTAGCCCAACGCTCCTCCCCCCTTTCTCTGCCCCTCCGTGGTGGCTAAGTGGCTAAGGACATTCCACGTGTCGGGACACCTTCCGCACGCAAGTGGAGGGCGAAAAAGTGACGCCGATACTCTGTTTTACTTTCCCCTTGCGTGTGGCAGGTGTGCCACAAGGTATACATACGGTGTGGCGTTGCAGATAACGCGTGTAAATGCCCCTAATTAAGTCCCCAGATTTCTCCTTTTTACCTATGCACTGACCACCGCCTCCTCTCTCGACCACCTGACACACGAAAACGGCATTTGCCATCATGTTCTTCATTACATGTACATGCTAGCGCTACAAAAGACGTACACATGTGAGAGACAGAGAACAGCAAGCACTACTAACAACTGGTTTATTGCAGCTGCTGACCCGCAGGTCGCGGGTTCAAATCCCGGCTGCGGCGGCTGCATTTCCGATGGAGGCGGAAATGTTGTAGGCCCGTGGGCTCAGATTTGGGTGCACGTTAAAGAACGCCAGGTGGTCAAAATTTCCGGAGTCCTCCACTACGGCGTCTCTCATAATCATATGGTGGTTTTGGGACGTTAAACCCCACATATCAATCAATCCCCCCCTTTCTCTCAATCGCTTCTCAAATTTTATTTTGCTGCTAGCTTCCCTGCTCTCAAATGATGTCCATCCCATATCACCTTGAACTCCCTGATTTGGTGTATTCCCGTGAGCTCCTAAGGCAAGCCTACCTA